TTCTGTGGACTGCTTTTTTATGTTATTCCTTCTAGGGAAATAAACAACAACGAATTTCTTATTGGAGGGTTTCCCTCACTGGGCTGGGCCATGGTTGCAGGGTATGATGTCTCTGTGAGTACCTGTCTCTCCAAGACCTAGCTCTCCTTGGCATCTCCCATGGATGACATGGGGCCCCATGTATAGCGTGTGGCATTGGATGAACAAAATAAAGCCCGGGGCCTCATCGCAGCCTGCTCTGTGTTCTCTGCACATTCTCTAATTTCCCCCATGGTTCTGCTGTTTGGTACTCGAGGCACCCCTTCTAGAGGAAACATCTAGTCCCAGTCCTCAGCCCCGAGTCCTCTGTTATCAACATGTTAGAAACAACAGGAGAAGCGGGCTGGAGAGGTGGCTGAAGCAGATGTAGTTGTCATGGCCACCAACGTGAGGCCGGGGTGGATGGTGCTCCAAGCCTGTTTGCGGGCATCAGCTTGGTTCTCTTGGTTTTTAAAGATGCTGCATTTGGTACATCGTATGCTGACTGTTACATAGCACTTGGAGGTTCTCAATAAATGCAAATCTTAGATATTTTCTTATTTTAATGCTCATAATACCTTTTTATCAGATATTCTATGAGAGCTGAGAAAATAGTAGCCTCGGGAGACTGAATACCTGTATGACTAGAAAGTTTGCTGAATTCAATGGAATTAAATTTGAGGTCTGAGACGTTTCAGGACCACCGCCCCACAGTCTCAGAGGGCGCCCCATGGCTGTGGCCAGGTATCTCTGTCAGAGTGGGACTGCCCACATCTAGACTCTGTGATGGGGGAACAGGCTGGTAAACTTCATTTCCAATGAGTTACTTAAGGAATCCGATTAAGTCAGGAATAGATTAATACACACTATTGCTTTTGAGTCTTAAAATATGAACTGTTTCAAGTGTTTTAGTTACATTTTACCAATGAGGAGCCCAAAGTCTGGAACAAGTGACTGTGAGGTAAACTCAAGCAACATTAAAGGGGCTGGGGTAGCTGTGTGTGCCTACCCCTGGAAGCCTGAGACGGGAGGGTTGAGAGATGAAGGCCAACCTGGGATTCATAGCAAGGATTCGTGTCAAAACAACACCAGGAAACAACCAGCAGCAGTAACAATGAAATCTACAAGTGAAGTAACTATGCAAAGGGCAAAAATAAAAACAACACAAAGCACATCTAATTCAAAACAAAACAAACAAAAATCAGGCAACTGTAAAAACAGAAGATAATTCTCAGGAAAATCCCTCTTGGAAGCAGAGTGGGTGCTTTCTCGGGAGCATTGAGGAAGAGGGTTAACTGGGGTCCACATTCTTCAGGGGACACCCTTTTTCCCAGGAAGCTGAGTTTGGTGACACATTTCTTTTCTTATCTTGTTTCTTTTTAAAAAATTGAAAACAATTGTGAATCTGTTTGCCTGAATATGCAGCAGTGCAGTGCCCACAGAGGCCAGGAGAGGGCGTCAGGTCCCTGGAACAGATGGTTGTGAGCCACCGCCATGTGAGTGCTGGGAACTGAACCCAGGTCCTTTGAAGGGGGATCCAGTGCTCTGAGCACTGGGCACCTCTCATGCCTCTTTAGCCCACTGTCTCTAAAGAGTTGCTATCAGAAAGTGGACTCAGGGCTGAAGACTGGGGCTGACGTCTCGTCAGACTGAATCGAGGGACAGGACACTCCCCAGCCTTTCCCCTTCCACTTTTTATTTCTCCCCCCTTCTTATTTTAAGGCCTCAGAGGGGCACAGCATCATGAAGGCTCTGCGGTCCTTGGAAGAAAGTTGCTTCCAATTTGGGCACAGAAATGCAGTGCTGTTACCACGGTCACGAATCACTTTCCCCTGGACTCCTCTAGCGTTCTCTGTCATGTGTTGTTCTTTGCTTTAAGCACACAAGTGTCTCTCTCGCTCACTTAGGGCTCAGTTTCTCTCAGGCACAAGCACCTTCAGTTCCCAGGAGAAGAGACCTGGTGCTCCTCACTCCCCCTGGTGCTCCTCACTCCCCCTGGTGCTCCTCACTCCCCCTGGTGCTCCTCACTGCCCCTGGTGCTCCTCACTGCCCCTGGTGCTCCTCACTGCCCCTGGTGCTCCTCACTGCCCCTGGTGCTCCTCACTGCCCCTGGTGCTCCTCACTGCCCCTGGTGCTCCTCACTCCCCCTGGTGCTCCTCACTCCCCCTGGTGCTCCTCACTCCCCCTGGTGCTCCTCACTGCCCCTGGTGTTCCTCACTCCCCTTGGTGCTCCTCACTGCCCCTGGTGCTCCTCACTCCCCCTGGTGCTCCTCACTGCCCCTGGTGCTCCTCCCCATCAGACACCACACTGTGGATGGCCTTCTAAGGGGGGTTTCAGTGGGTGGTTCCTTCAGGGATAAGAAGCAGCTCACTGCAGCAGGAAGGGACTTAGGCCGACATCCCACACCTCTCCTCAGGGAAAGAGGCAGGAGGCTGTTTGCTGGCTTCATTGACCTCTGGGGCCTCTGACTTGGTTGTGATCCGTGAAGAACATGCAGTGTGGCGCTCCCCCAAGCCAGGTACTGTTGGCCTCAGGGGCCATAAGGAGATTATTTTTCCTCAGTGTAGACGTTTGGGTCTTACCTCCCATTCTCTTCATGTCCTTCATGTTTTCCATGTTTTGTCAACCAAAGCTGAATGTGGACGGCCAGAGGCCGGCTGTGTTGGTAGTGTAAGGCTCTCCTGGAACCCAAAACCTGAAGGTCCAGAGGAGCAAAGGCCAACAATTGTCCCCTTCACCAACAGTACCACTTCCAGGTTTGTCCTGTGGAACATTGCTGAGTTCCAGGGAAGGCAATCATGACCACAGTGATGTCATCAGGCTGACTACGTTTTCTCCAGGGAGCGGGGAAGAAAAAGTGTTTATAAATCCATATCTAAGAAAATAATAACATTTGGGCAATCCAGATAAAGGCAGGAATTCATACAGGAACTTACTAGGCCTGAAATTTTCTCAATCTAAAATTGAAAATAAGTTTTGTAAGAAAGGATTTGAGCAGGGACTTGATAGCTCAGTGGTTAGGAGTACTTACTGTTCTTGCAGAGGACCTGGGCTGGGCCCCACATGGTGGCTTACATTTGTCTGAAAATACAGCTCCAGGCATCTGATGCCCTCTTCTGGCCTTTATGCGCTCCTGCATGTGTGTGGTATACATGCATACACTCAGGTACACACACACACACACACATACACACACACACACACACACTCTGTCTCTCTCTTACACACACATTAAGAAAACTAACAATTTGAATAAATTCCTTCTCAATGTTTTTGAGATGGTGACAAATGTGGGAGGGAATTAATATGCTCTATTTTTTTTTTTTGCATTATGTAGTTTTACCAGTATTTTAGTAGCTTCCTAGGGCTGGAGGATGCTAAATCTTATTTGAGAGATCAACCAGACCAGGCTGGGAAACACTAGTGGGAAATGAGCTGTTAGAATTATGCAAGAGGCTGCCAGTCGAGGGGCAACGGGGTGAGGGATTGTAGACGGACCAGTCGAGGGGCAATGGGGTGAGGGATTGTAGAGGGAGTTTCTGTCCCTCCTGGTCCCCTGGTCGCTTAGTCCCAAATAAACACACAGACACTTATATTAATTTATAAACCGTTTGGCTGATGGCTCAGGCATCTTATTGGCTAGCTCTCTCTTGATTATTGGTCCATTTCTATTAATCTAAGTATCTCCACGTGGTGGTCTTGGCTTACTGGAGAATGCCCAGACATCCTACCTTCTGGGTGGCTACATGGCGACTCCTGGTGGCTCCTCTCTGCCTTCCTCCTCCCAGAATTCTTCTTGTCTGGTAGCCCCGCCTATACTTCCTGCCTGGCTACTGGCCAATCAGTGTTTTATTCATCAACCAATAAGAGAAACATGGGGGACATCCCCCATCAAGGGGGCAATGTGGGGAGGGCTTGGTGAGAGCTGAAGTGGAGCAGTGGGAAGGTCTTGTAAGCCTCTGAGCTGCCTAAACTGAAGAATACCATCTGGGTAAACTGACATGGGAAACTCTGGCACAACACTTCCAGATGGGCTGTCACCATGAAACCCACAGACATGGTGATGCTGGCTCAAGGATACAACTCATACATGGCAAAGCCAGGCCTGCATCTAGGCCCTTCTTGCCAAAGTGGGTGGCATTTCAGTGAACAGTGCTCTGGCTGATGGCCTGGGAGAACATGGGGCTGGAATGGTCTCTTGTGCTCTCCTTCTGTGCACCTCAGGCCTGTGGGGTTTGTCTTGCTTCAGCTGTCCCCAGATTGTCCTTCTCTTGACATCTCCCTAGGCTGGATGCTGTGGACAGTTCAAAGTGTTCATGCAGCCGACCCGTTGTCACCCAGATGAACACTAAACCGGGCGGGATGATGACTCAGAATAGGCTTGGTGTGGGGCTAGAAAGAGTGATGCTGCCTCCTGACTTCCTAATGTTGATGTCCTACAAGAGCCCCAGTGACTTTTGTGAACTACTTCTATGTGACTGAGCTGCAGGGGGCACTGTGCTTGTGCCTGGACAGCAAATGAGCTCAATTATGTAAGCAGGTCCCAGTGAAGCTCTGCTCCCAGGCTTTGTCCGTCTTTTTTTTTTTTTTT